CTAGTATGTTGACCTCCTTCCTTCTCTCACTACCATGTTTGTCTCCTTTTTAGTTTTTCATTACTTACTTTAGTTTTTGTCTGTACTATGAAATACACATGAAGTATCCTTAAAACAACTTAAACTTATAATACTCTATTTTAAGATGCTGAAAACTTAATTTTCTACATATTATTCCATTCCTTCTTATGATAGTCGATCTGTGAAATAACAATTGAGTCTTTTTTTTTATGTATACCTTCATAAATCACTGTAGTTATTTTAGCACTTTTGTTTTGAAATATACATGTGAAAACATTAATACACACCTCTGTGATTTCATTCACTTTTGAATCAGAATGTGTACTTATCTTCTGTGTACCAACACATCCTTCTTTTTTTTGTGTGTGTGTGTCCTCATTTTTCCACCTGGCAAATGGTTTTAATTAATAATGAGAAACTGGAGTTGTTGTCTTCACATAAATCACATACAAAGTTGGAACAGTTTTTCCATTCAGTTCAGTGTTTGTTTTATTTATGATAAATTCTGTTCTTTGTTTTACCTCTAAAATGGAATTTAGGAATCACCCCTATGCAATGGGCCCCATCTTGTTGTCAGTTTCCTTTACTAATCTTTTTGTTATTTTGCTGCTCCCCCACCCCCTAACCTGGACCCGAGGACAGAAGCAACAGCTTGGCTAGCAAGCACTGAGCTAAAGTTGTTGCTCAGCTTTCCATTTTTTTTCTTATTACGTGCAAACTGTTAGTCTCTCATATTCAGACTTTTTCCTTTATCCTGATGATTTCCACTTTTACATGGTGTGCTAGAAATTACTAGTATAAGACAATATAGCCAGCCAGCTTGCGCACAAAACCCAGATTTCCTCATGGGATTACATTCGCATAAATGAAGAGCAATATCCAAGCATGTTAACACTGCGTGTTACCACATGCATAGACTTGTGAAATGATCACCGCTGTGGAAAGGCAGAGATCTTCCATCATTACAGTAACATGCCTGCTGCTATTCCTCTACACATGCCTTTCTCTGCAGTTTGTGATAGATGAAAACAGTGTTTTCTAAGGCCTATGATGTTACGGTAAGGACAATGTGACCGGGCTGGAGAGATGGCTCTGCAGATAGAGATGGCTCTGCAGATAATGTGTATGCCACCCTTGAACTCATACAAAGCTGGGAGGAGAGAAGTGATTCCATTAAGTTGTTCTCTAAGTCCATACACCTGTCACAGCAGTGTGCACAAAAGCACACTAAATTTAAAAATAACAACAAAATACCATCTAAAACATTTAATATTGTCATAAGAATGATAGAACAGTCCACAAAATGGCCTTTAATTTTTTAATAATCCATTTATTCATTTAATTTCATGAGCAATGGTGTTTTGTTTGCATGTGTGTCTGTGTGAGGGTGTCATGTCTCCTGGAACTGGTTACAGTTAGATGTTAGCAGCCATATGGGTGCTGAGAATTGAAACCAGGTCCTCTGGAAGAGCTGTCAGTGCTCTTAATCACTGAGCCATCTTTCCAGCCCCCGCAAAATGGGCTTTTAAAAGAGCCTTTGCCAAATGTACATTAGGCAAAAAGTTCACATCAACTAGGGATTAATAAGTTCTTATAAAGAACTCCAAAAACTAATCCTCTCAAAATCCCACAAATTGTACAGCTACTAATGTACTGAACACACACAAAAATGCAAATGGCCAATATTTGAAATTGTTCATCATCCTAAACCATCTGGGAAATGCAAATTAGAACTATTTTGAGATTGATTCCATCTCACCCCCAGTGAGTGTGGCTATTATTTAAAAAAAGGAAAAGAAAGAAGGAAAAAGGGAAACATTTATTCACTATTGGTGTTGAGTACTTATTCATACAGCCACTATGGAAGTCAGTGTGGAGTGTCCTGAAAAGATTCAAAGTAGAACTATTAAGCCAGATACATGCTATTTGATTTTATCCCAGCATTCACTAGGCAGAGACATTCAGGATCTTTGTGATTTTGAGGCCAGTCTGGTCTACAAAGTGAGATCCAGGACAGCCAAGGTTATGTAGGCAGACCTTGTCTCCAACCCTCCCAAAAAGAACCAAACGTAATGTCATATATGGGTGCAAGTAATGTAATGAAACCCAGTGCTTTGTTTGCTAAGTAAAAAAAAAATTAATTTCAAAAAGATTACATGAACAAGGAGGTAGGGTAATTATTTATGTTATTGTTACATAATGTAATAATGTGCATATTCTGCTTGCAATACTAAATCACAGTTTGCAAGGCTGTGGTGGTTTATGTCTGTCACCTCAGCATTTGGAAGTCAGGAAAATCAAAAGTTCCAGGCCATCCTTATTTACACTAGGAATGCAAATTAGGGGCCAGCCTGGAATACACAAAACTTTTGTCTCAACAGCAGCAATAGAAACAACAAACAACCAGGGCAATGGCTACAAGAGCCAATAGATGCTAATTTCACAAATTATTTTATTTAACTTGTGATAAACTTTGTTTATATCCTTAATACTTGGAAACAAGTTGTATACTATAAAAATATCATAGGCTGGAGATTATTAGTCATTAGGTGAACTTAAGCAAACCAACTCAAAGTAGAAATACTATACAAACAAGAACACATTAATAATATGTAAGAAGAATCAAAGGGTCTCTACTTCACATGCACCAAAAACAAAGAAATTAAAGCTACTACAGGGAAGCCCAGGCAAGAAATGTGGTCAAACAAGCACAAAGGGGAGTTGGGGGGAAGGGTTACCTGCATGAAGTTAAGACATCTTTCCAAAAAGAAAGGGATGATTCATTGCCTCACTAGTACCACATAAAGTGGTACTATCGCCCACAACCCTAGTGTGCTGAATTTTATCCCAGTCCAGATGAGAAGATGCTCTACTACTACTGCATCTTGCCTTCCCTCAGTATCCTTTTTCTTCACTAATTTGCATCTAGTCATATCTTTTGCCTAGTTACCTATTTCCCTATTAATGCTTTAAGACCATAATTCATAAGGCTTTGTTGTTTATATGCAATGCAAGGTAAGTTTCTTCTGAATTGTTTGTGGTACATTTTATCATAAAAGTTTTTTTAAATTTTAAACTCATAGATTTCAATGTATCTTTAAGGAGTTAAGTATTAAAAAATTACTGTAGCCAAGCATGGTGGTGCAAGCCCTTAATCCCAGCACAGAATGAGTTCTGGAACAGCCAGGGTTAAACCAAGAAACCTTGTTTCTTAAAGCAAACAAAATTACTGCAACTCTTATTTCACATTGTATAGTATGAATAAAATTATTGATCGTTTGATCCTCAATTATCCTTCAAGTTTTCTTCTGTTCTGCTCCTTTTGGCAGATAAAGCATATTTTAGACAAAACAATATTATCATGAAGCCCAGTCATAAAAACAAAAGCGTTCAGAAAGACAAAGTTAAAGGGTCTATACAGGAATCAGTGAGATGGTTCAGTGGGTAAAGGTGCCTGCCATCCAAACCTGAATTTCCAAGGCTGTGTATTCACCCAAAAGCTCTGACGATTATGTGCAATTAGCTTGATATTTTCTTTCCGCCTAATAAAACAATATCCATCTCTCCACCCATGTTTCAATGAAGGAGTAATTTTAACTAGCAAGTTTAATTGTGAATTACATTTCTCTTATTTCTTATTTTGCCATTACTGGGGATTGAACCTAAGGCCTCATTCATGCTGGTAAAGCACTCTGCCACTGAATTACAAACAATAGCTGTATGTATTGTGGTGGAAAAATCAAAAATTAGGGCGTGTGGCAAGCAGGGAAAACTAGAGAGAACAAGAATTTCTGCCAGTAGATAACTCCCTGACTACAGAGTACAGAGCCACATGCTGTTCTTAGGAGATAAAAGAACAAAAATAAGAAAACCTCTTAACCTTGCAGGTGAGCTAATCAATCTTGCCTATCCATGATGACCTGGTAAAGAAACTTTGTACTCTATGAAATGTCTGCAACCTTGGAAACCTCATGAAGTAAGACTAATAGTCTCAAGCCTCCCTTTTCGCTTTTAAAAATGCTTCGCAATTGTAAGCAGGCACCTTACTCTCCTGATAGAGTGAGGTCCCAGCCAAAGTTTGGTTCTTAGCAATAAAAACCTTTTGCTTTTGCAGTCAGGAGTCATTTCCTTGGAGGTTGAGGAAAACCATAGGCACAACAGTATTACTTTTCCTTGGAAGTGTTTGAAATAGCAACACTGGGGCTTTAGGACAGTAGTGTAGTGATAGAGCACTTGCATAGTGTGTTCTATCAACCTCTGCATAGAAAAAAAAAAAATCAAAATTAACAGGAGTTTGGAAAAAATTTATTCCAACCCTAATGGGTGATATTGGGGACGGGTCAAGATTTTAATAAAGGAAGGAACCTCATGTGGTAAAAATATCACAAGTAGAATTAGGAAATAAGTCTAGAAGTTGGCACTGAGATGGCTCAGCACGTAAGAGCACCAGCTGCTCTGACAGAGGACACAGGTTTGGTTCCCTGTGCCCACATGGCAGCTCACAACTGCCTGTAACTCCCAGGTCCAGGAGATCTTAACCCATTCTCCCAGCTTTGGCAAGCATAGGCTCACATACATGCATGCACACACATGTGTGTGACACACACACCCGGAAAAATAAATCCTAAAAAAATATTACAGAATTGCTGCAATCTTATGAACAAACTTCATTTGATGAGGAGTTTGATTTCTTACAAGAAAAAGAACAGGTGTCTTGAGGTGGCTTTTGTACCTGGTGAAGATACTGTTAACATTCTTTTTATCACAAAGAATTAAACTACTACATTCACTTAGTTGATAGCACAGGAGAAGGGTATGAAAGCAGTAACAACAATTAAAGTTCAAACATAGCATACTACAGAGAAGTTTTTTAAGGAAAGGAATAGTCAATTGATGTAGTAAACTATACTGGTTTTATTTCAACAATTGCTCGGCTATGCCATCACTGTGGGTCAAAGGAGGCACTGAGACAGAACAACTTTCAGACAAAAGCTTTATTCAAGCCAGTGGCGCAGTATGGTCTGAGGTAATGCTTTTTAGGCCACCTAGGGAAAGGAAAGGGCATTCTTTGAAGGTCCTATGGTAATGGAGAAGTGTGCCACAAAAAAGCCCCAAGTTGGTTGACATTACCAAATTGGCTTAAAAGGCACTGTAAACTTTGTAGTTTGGGCTCAGCCACATGCCTCGTAAGTCTCAAGCATATCTCAGGATAAAAAAAGCATCTGGAAAATTCCTTAGGGCAGTGAGCCTTGTGAGTATATGACTTATGCAGTGTACCAGTGCCCAGCGGTTTCTAGGCCATAGGCACCAGGGATACTGAGTATGCCCTTGCCTTGCTGCAGCTTTCTGTTTAGGGCTTTGTCACCTGGAAGGCCCATTTCTGAGATGGACACAATCCTCGCTTACATCACATAATATTTTCAGCCCTTCCTTCTCTGTAAAAGGAACAGAAGGACAATTTTATAGAAAACCAGGTAGTGATAGAGGCTAGGTGGCACTTAGATCATTCTAGCCATTTCTTGCTGAACTTAGACACCATTATCAGGTAGCAGTCTTTGAATCAAAGGCTGGAATGTGAATTCACACATCAGAGGGCCAGTGTTCATGTGTTGCATGGCAGTTTGGATAAATCTGGATAGCAGACAGACTAGACAAGGACCTATGGGTGTAAAAATCAAAACGGTTAGTAAAATGGTAACAGCTTGCATGACACGGTCACTCAGGATGACTTCTAAAACCATTTGTCCCAAAATTCCAATAACCACTTCCAGTTTTTAAAATTCAGTCAGTTCTGTTATAGCAACCGAACCCAGGAAGAATGATTGACAGAAAAGCTCTGCTGCTTTCCCCCAAAGAGTCAAAGTCCCCTTCTCACTGCCAAGTGATTTAGGCCTCTTCTATTTTGGAGAGTGACTTCTGCCAAGGAATCAACACCTACCTGATCCTAAGCTCTTTTTTTCTTTTTCAATTTTTATTTTATGTACATGAGTGGTTTGCCTACATGTATGCATATGTACCATGTGTGTGTCTGGTGTCTGCAGAGGCCCGAAGAGTGTGTTGGATCCCTAGAACTCTTGGATTTAGAGTTACAGGCAATTGTGAGTGCTAGGAACGGGTATGGGACCTGAAACCCACCCTCACCCCCTGCCAAAACTGGTCTCAGCGAGGAACGAAACCTGAATTCTCTGGAAAAGCAGCAAGCATTCTAAACTTGTGGGTCAGTTCTCCACTCTCAGGCCTAGATTCTTGTTAGACCCTGAGAAACTTCATCAAGGACTTCTTGTATGTCTTAGATAAAGGAGTTCAATGCTGGACTGCATAAGACGCTATCACAAAGGGAAAAAAGTGGAGAGACTGTAAATAATAAATTGGTAATTAGGGGCTGGAGAGATGGCTCAGTGGTTAAGAGCATTTGTTGCTCTTGCAGAGGACCAGGGTTCATTCCCAGCTCCCACATAGTTGCTCACAGCCACCTGTCATTTGAGTTCCAGGGGAGCTGATCCTCTCTTCACTAGGACTTCAAGTGAAGTGGCCCATTAGCAGGAACGTGTGCTAACAAGCACAAGAATAAAAATTGCAAAAATTGAGGAGTTTTGCTCACTCTTCAGAGATTTTCTTCATTTATGTGTTCACACTGCACAGAAGACTGCTGAGAATTCTGAGGAGTTACCCTTGACCCGCACATCATGAGGCACAGGACCAAGAACAGTTTGGGGAGACTTGCAAAAAAAACTACCAAGATCTACTTCTTGTTGACAAAACAAATCCTTATTCAGTAAGAGGACAAAAATCACTATAGCCTCTGGCCCGGTGTGAAAGCTATCTAACCCTGATAAATAGACAAGAAAAGCCCCAGGGAAAAGCTAGAAATAAATACTGATTTCAAAATTAGGGGAGGCTGCAGGGTCCAAGGGTATGGAGTAGGGCACCACCATAAGATCCAGGAACATCATTTCTAAGACCAAGACATAATACATCAAGCAGATGAGGCACACTCTCTGCCAGTCACAAGGTTGACAAATGTCATTAAAACACTGAAAAATTAAGGAATACTGCAGGAGTGAAGACAGTTACATGGAACAAGACCTCTGAGAGACAGCATGGCACCTCGGGTGACATAATTATTTAGGAAACAAGAGGCTATGACTCCCTGTCAAACACCCTCTAAAGCTAGGGTATCACACTGAGAAAAGCAAGCCACTTGCTCTGACTTCAGGTCCAGAGTAATGGGGCAGACTGAGCCCAGGATGCAGGAAGGCAAAGCCCAGAAAGGCACCCTCAAGAAAACTGATTTGGAGCACAACGAGGCGAAAGCAAAAGCCTAAGGATGCTCCCAATCACAATAAAGAAGTTGGTAGTGAGGACTAAACAGGAAGTTCTACCTAGCTGAAAGCCATGACCTAAAGAATAAAGACCCATGGGCCGGTTTGGCAAAGAAAACTAGGCTGACTCATCACTCAGTCTGCCCTATATGAAAGCTTGCGATAAGGAAGTAACAGATCAAATAAGAGGAAAGGCCTGCAAACTTGTTATACGCATGGAAGCAATCATGGAAGGTAAATGATCCATGAGTCTACAGAAGCTTACATATACCCCACTTTCCACAGGGGAGCAGGAAAGTGAGGGAGGTATACAGTTTAAGGGGCAGTAGTAAAGTGATATTTATGGGGCTTCACTTAATTTAGAGGAACAGGGAATGGGCTGGGACTTTCTATTGCATCTGTGGACCAGTGGTTCTCAACTAGTGGATTGGGGCACAGTTAACAAACCTCTACCTCCAAAAATATTTACATTACAATTCACAGCAGTAGCAAAATTACAGTTATGGAGTAGAAGTGAAAAGAATTTTGTGGCTGGGGATCACCATAGCATGAGAGACTGTATGGAAGGGTAGCAACATTAGGAAGGTGCAGAACCATAGTTATAGATGGACAACTAACTGCTTGTGAATGGTTTTCTTTGGAATACTGAATGAAGCCTAAGAATAAGGCAATGATGTTCAGCTAAGGGCTATCAAAGTCTTTTCCCTGTGACACAAATCAGTTTAATGAAAACCTAAGGAAGATCCAGGGATGATGGTGCATGCCTTCTGATTTCAGGGCTAGCCTGGTCTACAGAGTAAGTTCCAGGGCAGCCAGGGCTACACAGAGAAACCCTGTCTTGAAGGAAAAAAGAAAGTTAAAATAGGGGATAGAGGTAATTATTATATTCCTCAGCAGGTCTGGGCTTTATAAGCAGACCATTATACTTTTCTAGTATCTTCTGCTCTCATTTAATATAGTGGGCATAACAGAGCACCATATTTGGCAATGGCCATTCTTGGGCTCCTTTATAGGCTTCAAATACTCCCTTGACAGAAGAACATAAATTTATTTGAATCACCCTGTGGGACAGTTTTACCAAGAGCCATGGGAGGGGTTCAATGAGCAAAGTGCTTGCTATGAAGACCTGAGTTCAGATCCCAAGCACATCTGTAAAAGGTGGGCATGGCTTCATACTGGGTAGAGACAGGCGGGATTCCACGGGCTTGCTGGCCAGCCAGTATACCTGAAGTGACCAGCTCCAGGTTTAATGAGAAGCCCTGTGTATTAAATTACTTTTCTAATGTGAGAAAACATGGCCAAGGCAATTTATAGAAGAAAGAGATTATTTGGGCTTACATTTCCAGCAGGTTAGTCCATGATGGTGGACCGGAGGCAGCAGGTCTGGCAGCTGGGGCAGCAGCTGAGAGGAAGCAGGACACAGAGAAGTCAAAATGGTGCAGATCTTAAACCCTCCAAGCCTGCCTCCAATGACATGCTTCCTCTAACAAGATGGCTCCTCTTTAGACTTTACAAACAATGCCATCAACTAGGGACTAAGTTTTCAAACACCTGTGACTATGGGGGGCATCTCATTCAAACTACCACACCCTGTCTCAAAAACATAAGGTGGGGGCTGGAGAGAAGGCTCAGCAATAAATAGCATTGGCTGATCTTCCAGAGGATCCAGGTTCATTCCCAGCACCAATTTGGTGTTTTACAATTGCCTGTAACTCCAGTTTCAGGAGATACAGTTTCCTCTTCTGGCATCCAAGGGGGCACCAAGCCCACAGTGGTATGACATACATTCAGGCACGACACCCATACAAGAAATCACCTGGAGTCAACCTCTGAACTCCAAATGAATGAGCATACCACACACACACACACACACACACACACACACACACACACACACACACACACACACACACAGTGCTTGGGATAAAAACAATAGATTAGCTTGTAACTAATACAAACTAATGGTTAGATATGATAGCAAGAGCAGAGATTAAGCTTAACTTCAATGCTGTTCCCTCCTAAGGGATGCAGTGTAAGTAAAACACACATTAGTTGAAGTCCTGTCAAATCACTACATGAAGAAAGTAGACCATACTTAAAGGACAGGAAGAACCAGTACTCAAAAGCACTACATTGGGCAGGATGTGGGTCATATTCTGGAGGCTGAGCAAGAGGACTGCTGTGAGTTCGAGGCAGCCTTAGCTACTAGTGACTTCTAGGCTAGCCTGTACTACAGAGTAAGACCTCATCTCAGAAAAACCCTCCAATAAAATAAACCAGTGCCGCATATTACCTGAAATTTCCAGGTTTCAGCAAAAGGAAAAAAAAAAAAAAGTCAGATATACAAGGTAACCAGATAGGAATTATATAAGGAACAGGAACCTCAATAACAGAAAATGACTTGAGAGAACACAGCTTACACTGGAAGCCTGGGACTGTTGGTGAGGACAGGAGCTAGAAGATGCTCAAGCAGCTTAGGGCATGAACCCTAAAAGCAACAGCTCTGAGTTTTGTTCTTGACCAGAAACCAGGAAATGCCCTTGCTCTGGCTGCAGGGCAGGAAGGCAAAAAATGACCACTATCAAGAGAAAGAAAAAATAATTTATGAACATCAGCAGTTACAGATTAGCTATCAGAACACAGAACACAAAGTGTGACCAATGAATCCTACAGGCAATGATATTGTTAATGTTTACTAAATTAAGACAAAGGAAGTGCTTCTTTGGAAAACAAATTATCAGAGTTTGGTTAAAAGAAAAAGATCAGCAGGAGGTTTTGTCTACTGTTGGAACCAGGTTCCTAACAAAAAGGCTCCACTGTGAACTGCAAATCACCAGGCTTTGGTTTCATTCAAACACCAGCTCTTCAGGTAAGCATGGTGGCTCTTATTTGCAAGCTCAGCATCTAGGAGGCTGAGCCAGAGGATAGCTGCAAGTTTAGTGATCATCCAATATGGTGATTGCCAGAACACCTTGAGCTACACAGTAAAACTCTTGTCTTTAAAGCCAGAAGAAAACACACAACAAAAATATCAGCTTACCTAAACAAATGAAAAGCAAAAGCTGCCTCTCAACTATTGGTTCAGTTTGCCCAGATACCAAAACCAGAGAGAATGCAAGCAAGTCAAGAAAAATAAAAATGCAGATCAGTAGCTCTTGATACAAAACCTGTACCAGAACATGAAATGAAATACTGTGCAAAAGGAATTAGAGCTTGGGATTTTTTTTTTTTTTTTTAAGACAGCGTGACAGCATCTACTAATCCAGTGCTGGAGACAACATGCTAAGCCAGGCAGTGGTGATACACACCTTAACTCCAGCAGAGGCAGGTGGATCTCTGAGTTCGAGGTCAGCCTGGTCTACAAAGTGAGTTCCAAGACAGCCAGAGCTGTTATACAGAAAAACTCTTGTCTCAAAAAACATATATATGTATGCATGTATGTGTGCCGGTGTGTGTGTGTGCATGCGTGTGTCTCTGTATGTATATCATACCACAGGCAAATGAAGTTTATTGCCAGAACACAAGGGAGGTTGAACTGTTAAAAAAAATCCATATGAGCTAGGCATGGTGGAACATACCTATAATCTTCACACTGGGAAGCTGAGGCAGAAGCGTTGAGACTTCAGGGGTAGACTACAAAGTGATACTCTATCTTCAAAAATTAGTTAATTAATTTAAAAAATGGATTGGGAACATAGGTCATTGGTAGAGGGCTTGCATAGGCTGCTCCAAGCCACTGATTTAATCCCAAGTACTGATCGAGTGTCTTTGGTAATGCTCTCTTGTTCTGATCTTCCCCTAACTCTGCTTTGCTCAGGCACCTTTTCAGTCCCTAACACCCTGAAAAGTCATGTCCACATTGGCAACATGACCCTGACCATGCCCTAGATTAATAACCAAAATATCTGTTGACTATATAACCAAAACAAAGGTTACCAGGTTCCCTTGACTCATACCTGACAATGACATCATTGTGATTTTTGCCTTAACAAATGTTCTACCTTTGAGCTTCGGTGTTGAGAATTCTTTGGAGCAAGAGCTTGCTCTCCATTGCTGGCTAATAAAGGACTCTAATTGCATAGCAGTTTTGTAGCTTTGTTTTTTTTCCTTTAAGTTCTTTTATGTGCATTTGTGTTTTGCCTGCATGTAGGTCTGTGTGAGGGTGTCAGATCTTGAGTTTACAGTTGTCAGATGCCATGTGGGTTCTGGGAATTAAATTGGGGTTTTCTGGAAGAATAGACAATGCTCTGAACTGCTAAGCCATCTCTCCAGTCCTGGTTTGTAATTTTCTTGTAAAATAAATTTACCATATCAACAGCTGAAAGAAGAAACACAACCATACCAACAAATCATTTGAAAAAAAAAATCACTATTTGTTTATTTATATACATGTATGTGTGATTTTTGTGTGTATAAATGTTTATAGTATGTGCGTTTGTGAGTGTGAATGTCAAAGGTTGAAGTCAAGTGTTATCTTCAATCACTTTCAACCTTGTTTTTTGAGACAAGTTCATTATTTGGCTGGGCTGGCCAGTGAGCTCCAATAATCCACTTGTCTCTGACAACCATCTCCCAACAGCTGGAGTTACAGTTGCCAGCCACCATGCCCAGTGTTTTTGTACTCCTTGGAGATCAATCCCAAGTTGCTGGTACTCATGCAACAAGCATTTTACCAATGAACCATTTCCCCAGCCCCCTTCCAATGTTCTTTCAGAATAAAAACTGTCAAAGGAATGTGACTCTGTCACACAATGGATAGCACATTGGACTTCTAGTGATGAAAAACTGTCAGAGGAGGAGCTGGAGAGATGGCTCGGTGATTAAGAATGATTACTGTTCTTGCAGAGGAGTGGGCTTCAGTTCCCAGAAACCATATCCAGCAGCTGTAACTGGTGCTGACTGCCCTTTGTTACACATTCATCATTTTACTATTGAAGCACTGTAGTGGTGATGCTTTTCCTGTGGTTCTATAAATGAAAACTTTATAAAATTCCTATTTATAATGCTTTGTTGCTAGCACATGAGTTCACTGACTTTGATTTGAGACTTATGTAACTAAGGCTGGTCTCAGACTCACCATGTAGCTGAGTCTACTCTTGAACTCCTGATTCTCCTGCTTCTATCTCCTCAGTGTTACTAACTTCATTAATGGGGAATCAGATACCAGCTGGTCTCCATAGGCACATGCATGCCTGAGGTGTACATAAACTCATGCGAATATACATAGAAGTAACTGAATAAATCTTCCTTAAAAACTCTCAGCTAGCGGCTAGAGAGATGCCTTAGGGGTTAAGAGCACTGTCTGTTCTCCCATAGGACCAAGAATCAATTGCCAGCACCCATATGGTGGCTCACGATTATCTGTAACTCCAGTTCCAGGGCACCATCACACAGGCATACATAAGGGCAAAATAGCAATGCACATAAAAATAAACATTATTTATACATACATACATATATCAGATAATTAGGAATAGAAGGAAATGCTACCATAACCAAGGGTATGCACATAGAAGTTAGCAATGCTCAAAGTGTGAAATATTTCACTTAAGAGTCTAATAAAACACCGGGAGGTAGTGCCACACTTTAGTCTCAGCACTCAGGAGGCACAGGCAGGTGAAGCTCTGAGTTCAAAGCCAGCCTGATCTACAGGAGAGTTTCAGGACAACCAGGGCTACACAGAGAAACCCTGTCTTGAGAAAAAAAAAAAAAAAGAAAGAAAGAAGGAAGGAAGGAAGAGCAAGAGAGAGAGAGAGAGAGAGAGAGAGAGAGAGAGAGAGAGAGAGAGAGGAAGGAAAGAGAAGAGATAGTAGTAAAACAAAGAAGTCCCTTACTGCTGGTCTAGAACAGGGGTGGTTCTAGTCCATGCAATAAGGTTTGAAAAAAAAAAAAAAAAAAAAAAAAAAGAGGGACTGAGAGAAAACAAAACAAAAAACCACAGAAGACTGATCAAAACTGAAGCCACAGACACAACTGTCCACAACTGTCTTGAGTATCCCAAGGCAACTTAGGTGCAGTGGCACATCTCTATAATCCTAGCTACTCTAGACGCTGAGGCAGGAAAATTCCCTACCTCAAAAGAAACTTTTTAAGGGCTGATATGTTATTCAGTGGTAGATTGTTTCCTAGCATGTTCCATCCTGAGTTCCATCCCTAACACTGGGGAGAGGAGGTTGAAAAAAGGAAAAAGAAAACCCCAAAGAATGAAAAAGGGTAACAAATAAACAGTAGCTTGTTTACTCAAACCGGTACTATACAAAGCCACTAATAAAAATCAATGTGAAAGCTGTGTGCAGCAGAGCACATCTGTAACCTCAGAATTTGGGAAATGAAGACAGGAGGATCAGGAGTTCAAGGACAGACTCAACTTCATGGTGAGTTTGGGGCCAGCCTGAGTTACATAAGATCCTGTCTCAAAAGAAAAATCAATATACTAATATGTTCAAAACAAACTGAAATAAAATGAAAATTTGTAATGTCTCGTTTATGTAACTGTAGGAAAACCATCATTATTATAAAGCTATAATAGCAAAATGATGAATGTGTAACAAAATACATTCAGTATCATCTATATGCTGAAAAACTAAAACAAAAAAGGGCATTAATGAAGCATGATGCTCTCTAGACTGACTACAGAAGCTAAGGAATCCAAAAGTCCTAGCAGTAATTTTACAGAAACTAACTAGCTGTGCTAAAAATTTATAGAGGGTTCTGAATGTTCTGAATGCTCAGAGCTTGAAAACTGTCGCTCTAGCCAGGCACACCCTTAATTCCAGCACCTGGGAGGCAAGGCCAGCCTGGATGACAGTGAGTTTCAGAACAGCTAGAGTTACACAGAGAAACCCTGTCGCAACAAACAAACAACAACAACATGGCATGGGTACCCCATGACTTTTACCTCAGGTTTTCATGATCAAAGAAGATATGCTTCAAGAGGGGAAGTAGCTGCAACCACCTTCAAATATATTCAGCCATCCTGCAATACACCAGAACATTCTGTACTGAACAAGGTTTCTCTCAAAGCAAACTGCATATCAGGATTACAGGACATGGAAAAAGGGCATACCCACTGACTCAATTCCAGCCTGCACCTTCCAGTTGGTAAAAAAAGGCAATATCCAAGCCACAGTTCTTTTGTCATCAGATCCCACTTACATGGAGAGGGTCAGATAATCAGGGAGGAAAGCAATTTCACAACCCAGGAGCAGAGAGGTACTAAAAGACAGAATAGTCGGGGGCACTCAGAACATGCCAAATCCCCACATATCTTACAACCACATCAGTAATGGCCTATATACTGGAGTTCCTTTTACAGGTTACATTATGCCTGTCCTGACTTTCAAACATACAAAGATGTAGGAGAGAAAGAATTACAAAGTACATGCCCTGGTTAGCTGTAACTCCAGTTCCAGGGGATCTGGCACCTTCACACAGACATACATGCAGGCAAAACATGTATGTTTGTGTATCATGTAATTGGTACCCAAGGTCAGAAGACAAGTTGGATCACCTGGAACTGGAGTTACAGGGGATTGTGTGCTACTTTGCAAAAGACTGACCATGCTACAACTTCATATGTCACCAAAACAATGGAGAAATGGAGAAGTTGGGTCTGTAATCTCAGCTATTTGGGAGCTGAGGCAGAAATATTACAACTTCAAGAGCAGGCAGGGTTAACACAGTAACGTTTTGAAATAAGAAATACAAGCTTGGGCATGGTGGTGTAAACCTGTAATCCCAGCACTTGGGAGCTAGAAATGGGGAGTGAGAGTCATGGACAGCCTCAGTTACATAAGACTTGTTTTCAAAAGAAAGAAAGAAAAAAAAAAAAAAAAAAAAGAGGGGAGTTACAAGTCTCAAAAGGTGAACTCACAACCACCTGTAACTCCAGCTCCAAGGGATCCTATGGTTTCTTCTGGCTTTCACTGGCAACTGTACTCATGTGCATATACCTAAACACATACACAATTAGAAATAATTCTTTAAAATGGGGGGGGGAAGACATAGATATAGTTCAGTGGTAGCATCATGTGATTTCCTAGCATCACAAGGCCCTGAGTTCCATAGCCAGTGCAGGGGGGGGGGGGGGAGGAGGTAAAAGTAAATATAGTCACTAAATTAAAAATAATAGTTACTTTACGGGAAGACCAAAGAGTGAGACGCAATCATGGACAGAGAGAGCAAAACTTCAATTATAATGTTAATGTTTGATTTTAGTCTATCTCTTAAATAGCTCATAATATACACAGCCGTCAAAATAATTAAAAAAAAAAAAACAAAGTTAATTTTAACGTTCCTTTGTCACCCCATACATACATGGAAAAAAATGAGGTCATAGGATTATGCTACTTAATGTAGCATGCTATCATAGCATCTTTTATACCAAAGACTCGAATATACAAACTTTTTCAAACATTCTTCTACTGATGGATACACAGATTATTTCTTGTTACTTACCACTGAAAGAAAGCTGCATGAGCATCCTGTTTATTCTTCCTTATTTATATACTGATGCTTTTTTACCCTAAAGGATGTATCCTTAAAAGCCACACTACTGACTTCCAGATATTGGACCTTGGTATTCCATATACGTGGTTAAGTAACAGCTGTATTTTTATTTTCCTAAACATTGCTACTTTAATGCTTCCAAATGCTTATTAAAAAAAAAAACTCACACTTTATTCAGCAATACCCAAGTAAGATGAGGACACTTCTTTTGACCAAATAAGCATCCAATAGAACAGAGATCATTTTTGAGTCCTGTTGGAAAAAGCACTCAGACACTTCCAGATCACATATTCAGTAT